AAAGTTACATTTTCTTATTGGATTCTTATGTGATAGAATTTTTCTCAGTTACTGAAAACCAATTGTAATATTCAATATCTACTTTGTGAATTTATGTGTTTTTTACTGCATTGAAACAGTTAACTATTTTTTAATGTATAACAATGTTCAAAAATTTTTTTTATAAATAATAAGTAAACTTATAAGTACAAGAGTACGGGTCTCTTGTTTCTCAAATAATCTCAAAGTTTTCATTTACTCATTGGATTCTTATGCGATAGAATTCTTTAAGTTAATAGTTACTAATTATTAATGGAATTATGTATCTTGAGAATTTGTTTGCCTTCTACTGTATTAAACTAGTTAATGATTTTCTATCTATTGTGATGTTTAAATATTTTTATTTGTGTGATATGAATGTCTTCAATAATGACCGAAGTGAGAATAAATGTGACCTGATTCGACTAGATCGGCTCTATTGTATTTCTATCTTATTTATATAAATATAACAACGAATTATCGTGAACGTTGTATCTGATGTGTATAAATAGCAGCATGAATTCCACAATAAATTAATTAAATACAGAAAATAAATTTCTTCGATGCGTGATTCGCCAACGGCCACTTTACGAACATTGAAACATATACACAAACTTTAAACATGTGGAGACTCACAAAGAGTATTTTATACTTACTAAGCGTTTAAAATAAAATTTGATATTATAAAATTTTAATGACCATAGATGAAAGAGATTTTTCGAGGGCATGTAAACGTCTGTAGTAGGTTTGGAAGATGCACTATTTCTCATCATCTTTCTCGAGTCTTTTGTATATCTATAAAACTGTATAGACTTATTAACACTTTGGTAGTGCCTTCGAATTGCTTATTTTTTATTTATTCTGTTTATTTCTAAATTGAGGAATTCGCCTCAAAGAAATTTTATTAAGCTAAAAGGAATGATTTATCCTCATTCTGCGATTTCGACGTATAAATAGTTATTGATGGGAATTTTTATAACTTTTAACTGTTAAGATCAAAGAAATTCATTGAAGAACATTAGAAAATGTTGCGATTTCAATCAAATATAGAAACGAGTCATTTTTATTATCTGAGAACACTAAATTGACTGGTTGATCGATAGAATTTGAATAAATCGAGAGTGTTTTTTCCAAAAATAACTTTTTTTTATTGAAGACTAGAAGAATAAAAAAATATATTAAATTGATGATTCATTACGATATTTTGTATCAGTAATAATCGGTAATGTGAGTTTTACTCTGTATTCTTTATATTAACCTTCAAAATCATCAGTCGGCTTTACTCAAGGAAATAACAAACTAGTCGATTTGCTCTGAACCCAAGTAAATTATGGTAGAGCAACACAACGTTGTTTTCGATAAAAAAAGATAAATTTGTGATATTATATTTTCAATGCACATAACTAATCATATTTTGTAGCGTTTTACATTTTAAATTTAAAACACTGTCTTTTAAAAAAGCTATGGGTTTGTAATAAAGGGTAAAAGTGCAAAAATAGATAATTAACATTAAATAAAATTATATTCATACATCTGGCATTATATCTACTAATATGCATAAATTTACTTATAAATACCTACATGTATTTGCCCATGCATATAGGTATACACAAATATATATGAATTCATTTAAAGTCTGAAAAATCGTTTTAGTTACTTCGTCAGGATGGGAGAACTTGAAAGTGAAAAAAAATTCATATTACAATTTATACATCGCATTTATGAAAACCATTAACTACATTCAAAAAATCCTATTGGTAAAACCCTTGATAACATAATCAAAAGCCGGCTGCGCTTTACCATCCCCTATTTGTCTACCTATCCCTATATATCTACTCCTCGTCATTTTTCCAAATTGTAGATCGTATCATGTCTTGTAACGAATATTTTCAAATATTTAATGTATTTACCTATAATGTACAATTGGATTAAGGAACATAAATAAAGTACGCTCCCCTTGCGTTAAAGAAAAAAGTTTCTGAAAGTTTTATAATCTGTGGTTTGCGTTCGCAGATTGTTTGTTACAAATCATTTTACACATCCATTAAGGATTTTAATCTTGTACAGATGACTTATTTTAGAAATACACAGGACTTTAGCAAGTCTGATAGCTTGAATTTAACAAATTAATAATAAAGAAAATCAACGAAATTACATATCAAAATTATAGAATTATTAGACTTGTAACAAACATCGTGGTTAAAAGCTGTTGTGCTTTATATTTAAATATGCCTAAAAGTATTTAGGAATTGTATTTCATGATAAAATTTAATAATTTAACAATCGTTATATAATTTATTTTTTATACAAATTAAATTGATGCTTGATTGTGAAAGTTAACATACACAAAATCTTAAAAATTGCTATTGAAATTGTACTATTGTATTTCTTGCAGCTCTATTTTCATCTTATAAATTGTTATATTAAAACTTTACCACATTTATTAGATTTATTGTATATTGTATTTTATAGCTTGTTAAATAGGCGGTGCGAATTATCATGTATGAATGTATGATATACGAGGATATATTTTGTGATCAAGCTTTGAACTAACAGATAAAAATGATCTAAGTTTTCTTTTCAAATCACCACATTAGCAAAGGTTGAGTTATACTTCATGCTTTTGATTTAAATAAAATTGCGTTGTAGTTGATTTATAATCAATCCTGTTTATTGTTCGCCGTCAATTTTTAGTGCAATCTTATTGTAATTGATTGATTTATTAACAACTTTATATATGGAATAATATATAAAGTAATATTTCACTTCATCTCGCTGTAAATCTATTCATATGCTACCATGTTCAATATGTTTCATCTGTAATGCAGTTAAATCAGTTACCTTAATAATTAATGGCTGTGCCTTGATATATTAATAATTAATTACGACAAATCACTGAGAAATTGTTATTTATTGACGTACATACTAATTTCATCGAGTAAATAAAAATTATGGTCAATTTTAATGATCATAGGTAATGTAATGAAAAACATTCGATGAATTGATAATATTAAAGAATGTTATGCAAGAAATTAAGGGGCCGATTTAAGCAGTTTTCATACAAAATCGTACTAAATACTGTCAAAAGCCACGTGGTTGCTGTGCGGTAAGGCATTTTAGATATAAAACCTAACCTAGAAAACGCCCAAATATCAAAAAACGATGTTGTGATAATTTTTATTATATGTTATGATGACATGAGTGAAGCACAGCAATTACATGGAGTATTTAGTAGCATTTTGTATGAAAACTAGAACGTACCATAGCCTTGCCATAACAGAGAATCCTTGCCCTAGCAGAATTGGCTCATACATAGTATTTGAGTTGATTAAAATCAAATTATAATTGCAAAGCAGATGATATACAGTTTTATAGACCGTAACAAATGGATAAAAATACTTGATCAGTCGCCAATTAATAAGATTTTTCACTGATTTGCAACAATATTTTCAGCCTGCTTATTGTAATATAAAATATTAAATTATTGATTTTGATTTCATATAAAATATTTATGTTTTTATGAGCTACTATTTATTAATTAAGTTAATCCATTAAATGAGGTATTATCAATAAAAAGAAAAAAATAATATTTTGAATTTTGTAAGCAAAGTACGGAACCATTAATGTACTCTTCAACCTTAACTAAGCAGCGAATTTTTACGCAAGCCTGCGCAACAACTCGCGGAGCACGTGTTCGTTGCAAAATACTTGTGTACCTCCTCTTCAATTTTCAATTTATTTTGTTTTTGCGTATCAGATTTGCCTACAATAAAATATTCATAGACCATTCATTTGATTTGAATGTATTTATGTATATCAATTCTATCAATGTCAATTTGTCAAATCATAAAGCAAGTAGTTACTATTTGAAGCTATATATTCTTCCATAGGAATATTTATTTTTTAATATTCAATTGGTTCAGCAGGAAATTAGAATAAGCATATTTTAATAAATGCACGTATAAAATCAATACTGCATTTGTATTCGAGCACAACACGCACTTACGAATTAGTACATGCACATATATTATTATTTCTAGACATAAATAATTAATGATTTTAGTTAATTATTTCTATGTGATAATTAAGTATATATGTGAATAAATTAATAAAATATATATCAGACAATTTTAAATAAAATTCAATAGTTTAAACTAAGCACATATCTTTACAATACAATTTCTTTCAGTTACCTCAAAAACGGCCTTCGTTCTTACACTCTTGCGCTACCACTTTGATAAAAGATTATTTACCGTCGGATACGAATCGATCACAAAATGAAATCAATATATGTATTATGTTCATAATGTGTAAATTATTGCATTTAAATTTAATTATCGTATAATTGACATTATTACTTAAATAATAATAATTTTTAAGATTAATATACACGTGCTAATTAGAGATGCTATTGAGTTTTCGCGTCACAATAAAATAACTTCTCGAGATATTCGAGCGCTATAGTACCAATTATTATTTTAACCTAAAAATAACTCATATGTATCTATTGTGGTATCTGGACTTGGAAACATAGAAACCGCTAATAGCTTGGACATTTTTAAACTTGAAATTGGTTGTATTTATAATAATATGCTTTACTATTATTTGCTGAAATAATATAATAAATTTATCAAAAACAAAATTAATCTACTTTACGGAAATTCGAGTCAGTATTGTTCATAAAAATAATAGATTATCATAAAAAGTCGTTTTTTTTAATGTTCAGATTTTAGTATAGTTTTATACATTTCTACAAAATTTAGACTCAATAAATAAATTTCTACAATTGATCTCTATGAATATGATGCATCTAATTTATTTGAATGTAATACCTTTTTTTTCTTCTAGGCGACAGTGTCGGCTCGGGGTCTGAAGAGGATGGTTCAAGCACAGACCCACTTTATTGTGCACGTTGTCAAGACCACTTTCCCGACAGAGCCGAGTTATTAGCGCATCGCGCCTGCTGCAAAAATCGACCTCCAGAGGACGAAGACGAAAGTGAAACACCAATTCCCGATCAAACTGATGACGACCAAGGCAAGGATACTTTAGAACTTGCGCGTCATTGTCAAGACGTATCAAATAATAATAGTGTCGAACGTGACGAAGTAGAATTAACAGAAGACTGTCAGAGCACACAGGAAGGAGAAGGCATGATCCTGGACGAACACAAGATCTCACCAAACGCCGCTGCGGCGGCTGTCGCTTTTCCAGCGGCAAGTCATGTCACACTGGAAGCACTGCAAAATACTAAAGTCGCGGTGGCTCAATTCGCAGCAACCGCGTTAGCGAACAGCGCGGATAATGAAGCCGCACTGCAAGAACTTGCCGTGCTACAATCTACACTTTTTACGTTGCAGCATCAGCAAGTATTTCAATTGCAATTGATCCAGCAACTACAAAATCAATTACATGCAGACCCTCGATCTCGAAATGAAGATGAACCGGCATGCGAAGATGGACCAGAACCAGAAGAAAGCTTACGAAGTAGATCACCTTCACCGGCTCCAGTCGAAAGTCCGCCTGCTTCACCGGCTCCATCAACAACACCACCACCGCAAGCGTCTTACTCAGCTCCATCAAATACCTCAGAGGAACCTAGGCCACCAAGCAGGACACAGATAACACCTGCGTCTAACATGTGTGGTTCTATATCATCTTCTCTGGCTTCTTGTATCATAACACACAACGATGACCAGCAATCCCAAGAAGTACCAAACACTCTTGAAATGTTACAAAGGCGAGCTCAGGAAGTTTTGGATTCGGCTTCTCAGGGTTTGTTAGCAGGAAATTTGGCTGATGAATTAGCATTTCGTAAAAGTGGAAAAATGTCGCCCTATGATTCTAAAAACGGCGGACGCAATGAACCATTTTTCAAACACAGGTGTAGATATTGTGGTAAAGTTTTTGGTAGTGACTCTGCATTACAAATTCATATACGATCGCATACAGGAGAACGGCCATTTAAATGCAATGTGTGCGGTTCTCGCTTTACTACAAAGGGCAACTTAAAAGTGCATTTCCAAAGACATACGGCAAAGTTTCCACATGTGAAGATGAATCCAAATCCAATACCTGAGCATTTAGATAAATATCATCCTCCACTGTTAGCTCAATTATCACCGGGCCCATCACCTACATTACCTCATCCGCCACAGTTTCCACCAGTAGGTCATCCCGCTCATCACTTTCCTTTATTTAGACCAGCTTTAGATTTATTAAGACCACCGCCACCAGGTTTATATACACCGATTGAACAAGAAGGCCCCGCAGATCTCAGTAAACCAGCGCCGCCATCGCCAGTTCCGTCACCCAGGTTAATAGAACAGCGAGATGAAAATTGTATAAGCCCTAAACAAGAACCAGATACAGAACGAGAACCATCACCGCAACAGCGTTATCCTTCTCCCGTTCCTTACGATGAATGTTCAGAAGATAGCAAATATAGCGTTCCACAAGAACAAGAAATGCCTGCTGATCTGTCCAGTAAAGCTGCGTCACCACCTAGTAGCGCTTCTTCTATGGGAGATCCTACCCGCGACCCTGCTTTATATTCCACATTGCTGCCGCGTCCGGGTAGTAATGACAACTCATGGGAAAGTTTGATAGAAGTAACGAGAACTTCAGAAACTAGCAAATTACAACGTCTTGTTGATAATATTGAAACAAAACTTACAGACCCTAATCAGTGTGTAGTATGTCATAGGGTACTATCCTGCAAAAGCGCATTACAGATGCATTATCGAACACATACTGGTGAAAGACCATTCCGTTGTCGAATTTGTGGACGCGCATTTACCACAAAAGGTAACCTAAAAACTCACATGAGTGTTCACAGAATGAAACCGCCACTGAGAGCTTTGCATCAGTGTCCAGTGTGTCATAGAAAATTTTCGAATGCTTTAGTTTTGCAGCAGCACATACGTCTGCATACAGGCGAGCCTACAGATCTTACGCCTGAGCAAATCCGTGCAGCAGAAGTGCGTGATTTTCCTCCACTTCCTGGTTTTCCTTTAGGCGCTTTCCCAGGCCCTGGTGGTTTTCCACTTGGCTTAAAGCCTTCAGATATTGAAGCTATGCGAGAAGCTATGATGACAGAAGAAGACTTTGGCGATGACGAAGACTACCCAGATGAAGACGAAGAGAAAATTAAACCTGAAGCTGTAACATCTTTAGCTGCTTTGGAAAATCAAGTACGCACTATTACTACAATGGCCTCACAACTATCTGCGTCTGGATTGAGTCAAAGTGCAGAAGATTTATCAGAAACCAAATCTCAAGGTGCCTCTAATACGAGGCCCAATTCGCCAGTGAGAAGTTTGGAAGCACGCAGTCCAGGATCTCCTGCACCAAGCGATAGTTCTCAAGGCGGTGCTTTAGATTTGACACCTAGAGTAACAGTTCCTTCGCCAGCGTTTCCCAATTTCTCACTTATGGCTCCAGGACCTCCACAGATGAGTTCAGCCTTATCATCATTAACCTCATCGGTTTTAACATCGACCGCTTTTAGTCCGCTGGGCATGGCTGTCGGACCAGGAGGTAAGCATCATTACTTTTACTATTAATTATATGACGTTCTGATAAATTTTATTCATAACTTATTGAAAAATTTATTTAATTTTTTATATAAAGTTTTTCGTGCAAGGTACAATTATAGTTATCGTGATTATAACATTTTATGTGATATATGCGAATGAATATTCGCCGCACCTCAATCAATCATCGTTTACAATACCATTCAAACCGGAATCAGTTTTGGGTTCGTCATCCGGTGTGCATCTAATTGTTGCAACAATGTCCACTATGTTCACAGAAATATCTAGGCTAAATAATACTCCCATGTCAAAATTGGCACAGTGTCAATTGTGCGAAGAGGCGCCCGCCCAGTCGTCATTGATTGAATGTTTGACACGCTGCAATGAATCTCGAAGAGCTAAATTCCACCTTGTACAATTTATTCTGATTTCTTTAGAGTCATAAGTTATGAATAAAAATATTAAAATATAATAACTAATTAAATGCGTGAACTCCGATCGAAGTCTTCAAATAATTTTGCAACATTTTTCTCACGAGTTTGCCCCAAAATTTCCGCTATCAATACAAGTAAATGGCATAATTTATTTTTAGCCGTGATTAAATTAAGAAAGCGGATATGACCGTTGATTACCATTATATGATATAAGTTCACGTCTCGTTATAAATTACACGATATCATAAATATATAAATTATATACACATGATATATAAATCATGCAATGAAATACAATCCCAAAACATTTGATATAAAGATAGGATCTGCATTGAATAGCCTGAACAAATTAATCATAAACTTAGCTGTAAAATTTTATAACCTGTACAATATATACGATATGTATTTTATTGAAACATATATATTATATATGTGTATTTTTAGAAATACACAAACGCTAAAACTTGTTCGTTAATGGCATTCCACTTTTTAACGAGGTTTTTTTTATTATGCCTCAGATATAGATATGAATAATGATATATATCTACGTAGTTCCCGGACAGACGAAAAGCGCTCTTAAAAATGTTTCTTATATTTAAGAACTATGTATTGAGTAATCTTAAGCTACATTAATATTCTATCGTAATAAAATTGAGAATCCAGAATTGACACCTTGCAGCATTTAACTTTCGAACGCCGGCAAAATTTCTTTATTGGCAAAATTGTATTTTATTTAATTAAATCAATTCAAACCACTTTATATACTGCAGACAATTTGATCATACGACAATTTTCAAATAAGAAGAAAAGTACGATTTATTACCTCTATTTTATTTTACTTTAAAAAAACTAAATAAATAATAAGAAAACTTAATAAATATTCACTGCTTTGCAGCAGTCAATATTGTGAAAATCCGACTTGAAGCCAATTAAATATTTACAATATATTCTCGTTTTCAGCGCGAGGCAATACGACATGTAACATTTGCTACAAGACGTTTGCGTGTAATTCAGCGTTAGAAATTCATTATCGGAGTCACACGAAGGAGCGTCCCTTCAAATGTGCGGTCTGCGATCGAGGATTCTCCACCAAGGTATGTCATCTCTTAATATTATCAATATCGGATACTAATTTGGATCTATCGTTTTGTAACTAATCCATCATCGTTTCGGTTTGTGGCATTCAGAAGCCTAAACAGATTTATAATTGAAATGCTGCATTGGATGTTACATGCCGCAGATGATGATCATATATTGATTACTGTAATCACGTAGTAAAGATACGACTAGTAGATCTTATAGAACTTACAAATTCTTATAGATTCTTAAAGATCTTAGAAAAATAAATGAATTACGAGTTACTGAGTGCACCTCTAAACTACATAGCTACAATTAGTTTTGCACAATTAAACTTAACAAACCACGATTATAGCATAATTTTGGGCATTACTATGGATCAATAGATCCTGAAATTGTGGATCATTAGATCCAGATCAGTTCAATGAGCATCATTTTTGGCATGCCTCATTATAGAGAAAGTTAGAAATAATTATTACGATATTGTTTCACAAGTGTAATCTATTCCATTGTGAAATTTGCAATATATTTGTACTTTAATTATGCTGTGCAAACTTTTGTAATTTAAATATAATTTTTCCTATGCATCACCTACATGCGGCGGCATTATTATACGTTCAATAATGACAAACAAATTTAAAATTCAGATTTGCTTTCGAATCAAATTAGCAACTGACATCAATCAAAACCAAAAGTCAATGTTTTCGCTGCTGCATGCACGCTAATAAGACACAAAGGCCGCACGTTTGCCTGAATTATTGTTTCATCAACGAATTAAACGTCAATCCATGTGAAATTCATAGAAATGGCCGCTCATTTCTATAACTATAACAAACTTGATACGTTATCTATATATAATATAATATGAACCTATTGAATCAGCCTGTCCCATTCGTCAGAGAGATACCGTTCGACACGATTGTGCTATTTCATTAAATTAATTTTATTGTTGGAATTGCTTAATGGATGATTGCGTAATCGTTTAAGTACATTATTTTAATTGATATATAAATTCATCAGACCGATGGTTACCAGAAATACACATGCCACATCGCAAAGTCTGATGTTGGATTAATGACAGAGATTAGTTATATGTGTAATAAATAAAACGACAATTAAAATTTAATAATAGAAATATCATACGCTTAATAGTAAAAATTTTCCTTCTTAATAATCGGTATTCACATCATTATCTTATTTTATCAATTTACATATTTTTACTATAGTCATTTAGAATTTTTTTTCTGAATTTGTTTTACCATTGTTGATGCACATTATTTCATATTTTCAACTGCGCAATTCGAAACAAGACGTTTTTAAAACTAATAGAAATATAACATGTTTATATGCTCGACAATCCGGTAAAATAAAATTACGAAACACTCACCGGTGCGTGCGATATTAATTTCTAATTGCCGCAACTGTATCTTGATAGTTCAGTACATGAGATCATGTTCTTGGCTATAAATTTATAAAACTTGCTGTTTTAATAGGATTTTATTTCTTAATCATTACGAATAAAGTACTGCAAATTTTGAATGAAATATGCCATATTTGAACCAAAAGAGACATCAAAGTCGGAAGGAGGACGCAGGTGGCGCGATATTTGCTATGAAGATGCTTAATACTTTTGTACAGAACATTTTATATATTTTTTATTTCTAACCACTAACTATTCATTTCTGTTTACTATTTTCCCTTATGCAATTACCAACTCATGTATTAGTATAAATTTTTGATTTAACATTTAGTTCGAACCAAACATATGAAATAACATTGTAAATTAAATTGCTCGTGATACATCTAGTGTTCAGACATCAGTTTTTTATATTTATTATATTATTGTATGAATTTGCGTTGACTTACTTTTAATTTACAACAGACAATATTTCTAAAGTAGTCATAAAAATGTGCTGGCCGCGATCTTGCGATATAAATTGAGATTTATTAGAGGCACAGCGGTTTGGTGGCGAGTCGTTTCTAAACTTGACAAGCGGCTTAGATGACTGAAATCATCAAAATAATTTCATTATCATCGAGTTTTACGTAATACGTTTATAAGCCTGCTATAATTGATAGTATTCTTTAACACAGTTTATTTTATGTCAACGCCAACATCAGATTTAGGTGCCCACGCGTTTTTGCATTTTTATGAAATTGCTTTTGGAAAATGGATGGATGGACAGCCACGAAAGCTGTCAGATATTACATGATTTATTCGTAAAATAGAACACGAAATTGTATTTATATTGGTAGCTGATCTAAACTTATTAACACGTATAAGCTCATTATATACCTATAATACGTTATAATAGAGCAAACGCCTGCCAAGAAATGTATCCATTTGTGTTGTTCACAAGTTTGTTTAAGTATTAAGAAAATAGTGCCATTTGTTTTATTGATTGAATTATTGCTAGCAAAATACCAATGTCACGATCTATTGTCATGATCCTAATGTTAGTATTTATACGAAAAGAGAAAATATGTAAATATTTAGCTGAAGTATAGCTTTGTAAAAAAAACTAAACCAGTTATTTTAATTTTCAATGCTATACTGATATGCGTAGTATGAATTATGAAAATTTTAAGCTATTTACTATGACAACGACATAGTCAATCTTCATGTTTTAGTAAAAATTGTAGAATAATAATTATAATTCCTATTGATAACATCAATTGTTGCTTGTCTATTTACATTTCCAAAAAATATGCCTTAATTTTTATGCCAAAGTGTATTTCAACAATTGAATAACCAATAAATTAATACTGCTCTGATTACAGACCAGTCTTGTAAATGAATATTGGCTGTAGACTTTTAATGCAGTGAAATTTCATTTACAAAATAACTTAGCAACATTATATATACCCATATGCAATCTAAGTCAATTACAAATAAATGTGAAACATAAATTGACCACCTCTGGTATAAACAGATAAATACATCATTGAATAAAAGGTGCGTTTGCCGACTAATAGCCACGAAAACTGGTACTTGAAAGAAGCATTTACGCCTGCTATCGTATACAAGTTGTATACTTAAATTCTCACATCATAAGATAAATGCATGTCACATAATGTGCGGAAATAGCGTGGATCTTGTGCAGACACATTTGAAACAACTTAACTAGTCTACACCCGGTGTTGTGATACATTAGGAACTAGATTAATTAGTCATTTCATTTGCGTATAATACCAGGTAAACTATTAATTGTCAGAAGTACAGTAAGAGTCAGTACTATCAAATGTTGATGAAAAAAAAATCACTGAAGTAAAGTAACTGATTGTAAAAGATATGACTTAAATCGATTAAAAATTAAAAATATTTGTATTTAAATTTTTACATTTTAAGAGCGCGAGAATCATTAAATCTAAGTAATGCCTATAGCTAGTTTTAACTTTTGATCTATGTATAAAATGTACCTACTTCTATCACCAATCCATTTTGAATTAAACTTTACTGCTTAAAGTTTACGTAATGTGCACAAGGTTTTAGTTAGCCTATTTATATGCATAAATCATTTATTTTTATTTTTATTACTTTTCTTATGCAAAAGCATGATAAGGGTTATTTATGAAAACCACAACTATAAAGAAAAAGTATATAAAAATAACTGCCATGTTTTATAGCATTATGCTTAAGGCTTTTATATTATTTTAATTATGTACGATAATTAAAACCCGCGTTATGACCCCGTTAATGCAATATACATATAATTATGGTATTTTATACCAAGCATGTATTATCAGTGTTTAAAATCAGATATTATTATTGATTAAAATTGACATACCGCTGGAATTATATGAAATATAATTTGGGAGGTATTTCGAAACAGATATACGATTATTGATACACCAAATCGATAGCAATGCGAAGATTTTTTATTTGAATTTGTGTTACAATTTTTTTATTGCCTTGAGTATCACAGATAGTTTGCAGCAAATTAAAATATGCAATGTTTTAAAATGAAGTAATCTCATGGACACATTGTCCAAAAACTCAAAGATAAGTGAAAAAATATCAGAAAAGCATTTGACATCATTATTAGGTCCATAAGTGTAAAAAGAATTTAAAACCCCTAGGTTAAACTTTACTACATATGAAAAAGTTTGAGGGGCCTGATGTCAAGTAGTAGTGACATCAGTTTTCACTTAGAAATATAGATTGCAATATGCTTCCAAGTGAAGATAGCGCTGATCCGGCATTGCTGCATCAATAAATATTCACCCTATTAAAGAAATTGCAATATTGCAATTGATCACACAGAGAAAAAGGCAACCGTTTTGGTTGCCATCTGTAAAACCGACTAATATCTGATTAAATCAACCCAACAGCTTATATGACTTATAAGTTCTGATTGATCTTCAAAATCATGAAAAAAAACTTGATAAAAATTAAATTAAGATGTACGAGGTGTGTTCAAAAAGTACCCGGAATTACTAATAATTAAATTTCGCGGGTCTGGAGTGTCTGATTGTCAAAATTTTTTTTTTATTGTGTTGGTATACATGCCCCTAAAGTATGATGAAATTTTCAGCTATATTCACTGTTTACTTTGTCTGTGGTAGTCGCTAAGGTTCGACGTGTTTTTCTGAGCTCGGCGATTTTTACAATGGAAGAATTGAAAAGTCAAAGAATTTGTATTAAATTTTGCGTAAAAAATGAAATAAAGTGTTGCAAAGTGCAAAAATTCACCAGATATGGCTCCGTGTGACTTTTTCCTATTCCCAAAGTTGAAGAGACCCATGAAAGGACGGCGGTTTTCCTCGATTGAAGAAAATCGCTGAGAGTGCTCAAGGACATATCAAAAAGTGAATATCAAGGGTGCTTCGAAAATTGGAAAAAACGCTGGCATAAGTGTATTATATCTGGGGGGGACTACTTTGAAGGGGGACCACATTAATGTAGACGAATAAATAAATATTTTTTTGAAAAAACGAAAATTCCGGGTACTTTTTGAACAGACCTCGTATATTCTTTAAATCGATCATGAAATATGAGGAGATCGACGTCTTCTAGCCGGTGATTATACCTGTGAAGTGTCAATTATGTCCCATATATCTAAATGTTTCAAACATTCATTTACCAAATGTCCATGTTTAATGCAAAGTGCCTAAATATGCTATTTATGTCGTATGCTATTTATTTTCATTTAATAGATGTATCAAACATCGTGTCGCAGTGCGAACTCTAAACCGCACTGGAGACAGAATAGAGCGCGGATAATTCAGATATAGATCAGAATAGAAGAATAAATCCAGTTATTTTCGGTCGCACACAATTGTTGCAGGCTTTGCTGGTTTGTAAAGATAGCGAACACAGACACAATACTGTCTCGTGGTTCCACGCACACGACTTCGTTTAGTGTTGTCTGTAATTAATTCACGACTATTTCGATATAAAATAGTGCTGATTTATTTCAATTTTATATTTTGCCAATTTTGAAGAACAGTAGAAGTTCATTAGTCCGGCAAATTCAGAACCGGCTTAGGAGCCGGACTATCCGGAAAATTCCGGATTGTCGGGGGGTAATTATAAAAATATTTAGGTTAATAATTAAACCACAAAAACAGTACAAAGTTGTGAAAAACAGCCTCTAAAGAAGGCGGCAGTCATTAGCACATTGCAAAATGGTTAATCTGCCTTAGTTTTTTTTTTCAAACTTCATCTTTTCATTCATCGTCTTGTTTCTTATTATGACTCATTCATAAAAACATTTCTCTTCTCGTTCGAACTACCCCAAAAACTCCTAATAGCACTGGAACGTTTTTATTTGCCATAATCTTTAAAGACACACTTTTGGAGAAAAACCAAAATTTTCCGAAACGGTGGCGGACTATCGGGCATTCCGGACTGTTGGATGCCGTACTAATCGACTTCTACTGCATCACAAATCTTGTTAAAGAAATGTCTTAAGGTTTTAAATGAGATATTTTACATATTACATTTTAGTAAATATAAGACAACAATATTTGTATTAACTTTAAGGTATTTTCAATGCACTAGTTCAATAATTTAAGTAATAGATTTATGTTATATCTTTATCATAAATTACCTCGCATATGTGCATCGATCATGTTTTAATAATCAAAATTAATGAATATAAGAACTCATACTTCATATAAAGCATAAATCTATGATATTAAAAATTTAATAATTATTTATTACATTGAAATCCGAAACCATTTTCAACATTAAAGCTCGACAAACGAAATTTTCTGAAACTAGAAAATCTATAATAAAATGAAATGAAATTATGGTGCCATCAAAATTGCTAAAATTAATAATGATTTACGGGCACTATTTACATTCGACAGAGTCAAATAGCTAATCTTTCCATAGAAGTCACAGCTTTCAATTCGCTCGCAATCAGATGCGTTCTATAGTATTCTAATGTGTCGGATAAGATGATCTGGCTTGGTGCCAAACACCAATCACTCTAACAGTGGACGGCGGCACGACTGTATATTTTTAGTTTATGAACAACTGAAATCTGCACAGAATCTCAATTATTCAAATATTTAAATTATTAATAAACCATTGTCTTCTTTTTGCTTCGCCTAGGGCTTATGCTGACCGCAACCGCCACCGTCGGACATTGTGCATTCGAATACTAAAATCTGTTTGTCAGTGTCCTTGAATAACTTTATGATCGCTACATAAAACTTACTAATTGAAACGTCATGTTTAACAACATCGTGTGTACGTTGCTGATGATTAATTAAGATGTACAAAGATGCGCACAAATATAATGACGAACATATGTCGCGAAATCCTTATTAGACTAGCATTTGTGCAATCCGCAGAGAGATTGCAAGACCAATACCTTTTTATGTAAAGCATGAGGATAATTTATTTATGTATATGATAATATGAGCTAACGTGATTTGTGTCCATTGTAATTAATGCCTTCTTAGTATCAAAATCATAAAAAACGATTATAGTAGAAGCGTATCCAGCACTAAAAGGCAAAAGATTCTATTATGACCTCTAAAAATGAGAATTGTAATAAATACTGCCCAAAAACTTGCCGATTGAGAACCCCTGATATTTATATCTACAAAAAATAGTAATTGATGATATTTGTCTATTCTATCACTGCGCTCACAATAGCGTTACCAGTTTTTAGATTTTATATAGTTTTCTAGGAATCTATTTTTATCCATACGGATCATTATCACAATGCAGTCGACAAGCATCGCATTTGTTTTGTTTCTGTTACCATTTTTCTTGTGTAGGCTGTCTGACTGAATATCGTCCCTTTTAACTAATTTCAGAGCAGTGGCGGCGCTCATTCAGATGTACGAGGTCCCTGTACGTGTCCCCCTAGAGAGCCTCCCTTGTTCTCATTCCTACCGCATGCCACTGCTCTGCGCCCCCCAGGAGCGGGGCACTTCTTCTTGGTAAGCATACCAAGTGAAAACCCTATTTATGTTAATATGTATATCGGGGATCATGACACAGCTTATTATATATGTCAGAATTGCAGAAGATTAGATATTACCGACAAATAATGACAGAATAAATAGATTGAAATTAGAATTATTTATTTAAATTGATAGGCATATATAATCGTAATGTGGTAGAAAAATGAAGAGATAATAAGCTCTTGAAATTTGGAAATAAATTCAATAAATTAATTATTTGTTAACATTGTTACAGGGCAATATGAAGCAACACATGTTAACTCATAAAATACGGGATATGCCACAACATATGTTCGACAATAATGTCAAGTCAGAAGATGGTTCTTCTGAACCTGAGACTCGATCGCCTTCTCTACCCCCTCAACCAACAGAGCAAACTGTAATCAAACAAGAAGCTGGCATCAAGAGGCCTCCGAATGATATTGACTTGCCATCTCCCAAAAGACCTACAAGTAAGTTTTAACCATTTTTCAAAATACGTTAATAAACAACTTACATAAAATACGAAAAGAAAGCAAACTTTGATTGAAATGTAAAATTAAAGTCACAATCATTATTTTTTCAGCAAATATAGCACCAGTCCCAATACCGCCTCCGTGCCCGACATTAGATCTTTCTCCACCCAGAGGACCGATGTTATCATCACCTGGTATTCCTGTAAGCGTTCAGCAACACCTTCAACAACAACCTTTACCTCTTCAGCAGCAATCACCCTTACATCAAATGTCAGTGATGCATCAGCAACAATTGACGCCGATAAATCAGCAATTGACGCAACAACAAATGCAGCAATCTCAACAACAACAACAATCACAACCACAATCCAATAAACATTTATGCGGAGTATGCAGGAAAAACTTCTCGTCTAGTTCAGCGCTTCAAATCCATATGAGAACACATACGGGCGATAAACCTTTTAGGTGCACGGTGTGCCAAAAAGCATTTACTACAAAGGGAAATTTGAAGGTCAGTAAACAGTAATTTTATTGTCATAAATTTCTTAGTTTTCACATTTTAACAATTCATATTTTCGACTAATTTTCAATCTAATTATTGAAAATATTCATTATTTAAATTGATTTAATTCTAGGTTCATATGGGCACACATATGTGGTCAAACGGAGCTTCGAGACGTGGACGACGTATGTCTTTAGAACTACCGCCTCGACCACTGCCTCTTAGTCCACAGGACTCGGATTTTTACAACGGCGTCCAGATCTGTTTTATCCTTATCTGCCCGCACCTTTTCTGAATGGCATGCAACAAAAGGTAGGAGTAAAATCTATCATCTTGTTTTCATTTTATAAACACGATTAGGACAATTCAATATCGGGATGAATTTTTTTTGTCCCGGATTGTCCTGCGTTTTCGAAAAGTTAAGGTTTGAATTAAATTTTGGTAATTACTTCATCAAAAACTTACAACTACCCATCAAATATACGAAAAAGATATATACAACGATTATGCTTATATGAAACAATGTGTTATGAATAAAAGAATTGCCGAATGAAAAATACCAAAGACAAGTTAAAATAGCCTCTTTCCCACATTAATAAATTCGAACTTCAATTGTCATGTTCAATTTTACAAAAAATAGCAAAAACTTCTATAAACAAAACGCCAACTTAGCACAGGTGCTATTTTTTTTCAAGTTAATTTTATGAGAAAAATTTAACCGAAATTCATATAAGGCTTAAAAGATAAAAATACATAATAAATAAGATCCAGAAATATAAGATATACTATAACATTTATTCGAATAATGAAGTTCCTACTGAAATTTTAAAAAATTATACATTCGAGAAAAACAGATTTTTATTGTATCCTTAAGGGGGTATTCTAGTGTAGAAATACAAAAAAATCGATTTTTTTTTTATTTCATATTTTCAAAGTTTAACTATCTAAGAATATAAGTACGAGAAGGTTTTTGAAAATTTGAATTATTTTTGGAGATATAGGCATTTTACTGACTCGGTCTCCATACTAGTTTGGCTTCACGCAAAACTTTAAATGCGTTTTTCTCAGAACTTACTTTTTCAGTACTCTTGTCACGATTTCTGGACTTCTACTCGACCAATTTATTTGAAATTTTCAGATAGTCTTGTTTATAGATCTATCTCTAGTCTGAACTAGAATCATCCCGAAATTCCTATTCTTACTATTTTTAAAAAATTCGAGAAACTCAAAAAAACAGTGAAAAAAAACTTTTTTTTTCAAACAGTCGCCAATTTGTGAAAAAAAAATTTTTTACTTATCGCTAGTTCAGCCGATTGCGACATCAATGTAGAGAAATAATCTTTTTAATTTTTGCATTTTCGATGGCTAGGAGGGCTGAAATCATGTCAAGACTGAGGTGCCAATTTTTTGAGACCACCCACTTCATCAGTTGCCAGTTTTTACAATTTTTAACGTTTTCATTTTTTAATTTTTATTTTGTATCTTAATAATATTAATAAACAAATGGTAAAAAAATGGATAGTGAAAACATTCATTGCTTTCTTTTACGACACTTTAAAAATGACCTAAAATTCATCGCTTTACACTAGAATACCCCCTTAAATAGTATTTGTCATTTTAAATAATATTTAGGTTATTTAGCATAAAGATTCAATCCCACCTCTCCCACCTCCCGGATTATCTTAACCGAAAATTGCCGTCCCAGTTTTGACTTAAAAAAATATGGTCACCTTATTATTATTCGCATTCGTAGTTTGTAATATTCGCCAATAAATTTATCATCGCAGACTATTAATATTCATTTTTCGATTGCAGCTAAATGAAATTTCGGTGATGCAACAACAAAACGGACCTCCTCATAATGGCATACCATCTCCTGGTAAATTTGCCGGTCTTCTCGGTTTCGGACCATTCCCACCGATACCACCACCGCCAGTGACAAAACAGGAACCTATGCATTCGCAACCCAGTTCACCTCTGAGCGACAAGCCTCCGTCCGGGCACAGTCCGCAGCCAGGTATGACTCAATTGGCGCCTGGTGAGCGGGAAGCTATCATGAGAGAACTAGGCGAAAGAGAACGCGAACGTGAGACCATGTTACCTCGTATGTGGGATTTGCACTACGAGCGAAAAGCAGCATCAGACGTTGGCCCGATGGGCGGTCAAGAAGATTCTTCACCCATGGACGTTTCCGCAAGCAGCGTTCCACGATTGGGGCAGACGCCGCGCGGTGAAGGATTGGCCGCGTGAGACGGGCTTTGGTCAGCCGCTGTGAATCGTCGCTTAGACTTTATACATTGACTGACCTCATAAATTGGCGACAAAGCGCCCTGCCGCCGCATAAATGGTATTCTATGTTGATTTGCAACATTATATTTGATTAGCTAATAGAAAGAGCTATTCACAAATTGACATTTCCGTTTTATTGGTTTACAAAATAATTTATTCACATAATTTCTTTTATAGAATATTATTTCAACGTCAAATTATTTTATAAAACAAATTTATCTTGATATTGTTGAACATTTTCGTATCGATGCAGAATGCCATTTATGATGAGTATTATACACACATATCGTAACACTCAAGTCTATATAATTGAATATCATGATTAATTAATTATATCATGTAATAGTGAAAATAATTTATATGTGTGTCGCATAAAATTTGAACTTTAACTATTGCCGTTTAATTTATGCAAAGTGTTCAATCGCGATGTGCAGATTTAATATAAAAGAGACTTAACATATTTTATATAAATATAACTATATTATAGTGTAACTATATCATTACATATATATTCGTATGACTATCTGATAAGCATATGCAATTGATGTAGTAACAATGTAGGTATAACACACAAATTAATTTTTATTATTGAAGAATCGAATTTAATGTTATAAGGTTGCAATGTTCCAAAAAACCTAGTCTGAATATAGAGAGTTTCTTGATCTTATCAATCATGAATAAATCGTAATATTCAGTGCCGATTGATAGAAGAGCAATTAACTCAATAAAGTGGAACATTTCATACCGTATCGCGTCGATACGCATTTCAAATGTGTATCGTATTTAGTGTTATATGAATATATCGTTAAGAATTGTAAAAAGATATTGATAGTGTTTTGTGGGACGGGGCAATGTAGGGGCCTGTTGTATGGTTAAGCTAAATTGTACTATATAAAAATATAGCACCCCGAAAAAATATGCATATAAAAACTACTTCTCTGTGATAAATCTAAAAAATACGGCGTCCCTATCCAATGGTCACCACGGTATTATATTTATTATTATTTCATTTATTTTTAATATGCGTACAAAATTCAAAGTCCACTTCCTCTGGAAAAATCTGCATGATTTAAAATGAAATGAAAAAGATTAATCAAATTTTATTATGAATCATATTTGTATACGTTATATTTTATTTCAAAATGAAATCTTATATATTATTAAATTTTATTATATGTTGTTATATTGCTTATTTTAAGAAAGAGGAAGTAAATGGAGCTTTATTTGAATAGCATAGAAATTTGAATAGAATAATTTTTAATAAGAAAAGTATAACAAGTCCAAATATATAAATATTATTCATATTATTAACTTAAAGTGTATAATGCAATTATTACCACTTTGATTGACATTTTAGAGTGTATGTATTTATGTCCGCAAGTATATTCAAATAGCAAAATAGTAAAAAAAATAAATTATTTTAGATTTAAGTATTCATCATAATTTGAAATGAATTGTCAAACATTGTGCGCAAATTACTAGTAAGAAAATATATCAATAACAAAAATTGACAAAAATTTATATCACAACCTTTATATCTTTACGCAAAATTACCAATTAATTGTACCAGTGTTATATAAATTAGTAACCTCTAGACCGATATCAATTTATTCCATTTTTATAGTTTAATTATAATATACTATTAGTATTGCACAAAATAGACAATTATCAGTGATATATTTGATTGCATACAAATAATACATTTAAAAATCAAACGTAAAATAATTATTATGTTAAATATTATTAATTATTTGTATATATTTATTATTCGATATGAAATATATCAGTGACTGCCTCTTTTAAGGAATGTATCATCATACAGAATATAATGAATGAAAATATATTAAATGTGTGCTTAAATTAAATCTTGTTTTATTAAACAATTTACGCTATTAATGTAAATAGAAAAGAAGAATTAATTCTAAAGAATTATGCACTATTTATTTTGGAACTATGTATTGCATATTTCCAGAATAATTGGTGCATAATAATTCTTTCAAATTGATTCTCCTTTCTTTCTTTGATTTAGTATACTAAACTAACTAAACGAAAATATACAATCTGCATGATATCAAAGAAAGTGAATAGTTTAAATCAAAGAAAGTGATTTTTTTATCATTTTAACCCACACTATCCAAACAACACATGACTTGGTTCAAGTATAAGTGTTCAATTGTTCAAATTTAAAAAATATAGCAGTATCGGATAAATTCTAATAAGAATATATCAACAATAGACAGAGCAGCTATTGGGTTGCTTTATAACAGCTGTTTTTTAAATATTGATTTACAAAACAATTATTAAATGTCTTCACAAGTAATAGACGGATCGCAATTCATAAGTGAATAAAAAAAGAATATTATAAACCCTTAGAATTTGAATAATAATATACTGGATATGAATAATGTTATTAATGCTGTAATAACAGCTGTTTTATACCGACTATGTGAATTGAATGCAACACATATTAGTAGGTAAATAAAATGAATATTTGGTATGTGTAAAAATATGAAAAACATGCTTTATTTATCACTTACCGATAGGAATGCTTTTCCATTTATATAGATCACACATAACTGAAGTATATGACATTGTAATTAAATATTACAACACAATTACTAATTAAATACTGTAAATATACATGAATATTTGACAATAACGTATTAATACCTATTTTTTGAAACATCAAATTACAAACAATGCTTTCTGTCACCAATCAAGTCTTACCAACTTTTGATCGCTGAAAAACAAATGTGACCAACATTTAAAAATACTAGTGAACTTCACACCATTTATTTATCTATGCTCCACACCATTTATTCATCTATGATAGCACCATCTGTGGATAAATGAGCTCAACACGATACGATTATTTGTGCAAATTCACGAAAATCGTGTTTAGGATGTTTGCGCAAACAAATCTAAATCAAATGAATATGACGACAATCTTTGAATCTTTTCTATTGATATTTTATAATGCAATTATTTATTTACAAATAATTGTGCGGGGTGGGGGGCCTTTCATAGATAAATAAGCATAATTAGGTCCATTATTATATGAATGAATCTTTTTGGGTTCTGTGTTTGTTGCGGATTTTCTTGACCTTTAAAGAGCAAAATATATTTAGAGAAAATGTGAAAACGACCAAATTGATAAACTTTTTAAAGTTTGCTATTTGTGCAAATTCACGTAAATCTTGTACAGCATGATTGTGCAAACTTGCAATCAAATTATGTACGTTTTGTATGTTTGAAATTATCTGTGCAAAGTCTGATTTGCACAAATGATTGTGTGGAGAGTCTATTATGTTGTCTTAGAATCAAACCAAATCGCAATTTTTTATGTAACATTGATAAAGAAGTATCAATATCATATAAGGCAAGTTATAAAATATAATTTTAATATTTTTGAAGGTTTAAATCTATTTTAATTCTGTTTATTGCGGATTTCCTAGGCTAATGAAGAGCAAAATATATTTAGAGATAATGGGAAACGACCAAATTGACAACTTTTATAAAGTTTGCTATATTCATATAAAAGGAATGTGTGTAAATGTTTTAATATATGATAAGCTTAATTCGCACTTGATTTATTTATAATTTTGCAAAATTTAAACAAAAAAAATTTTGCGCGTCCTCTCTTCGCAACTGCTATGAACTTGTTGAAATGTCGGTGTCGGTTAGGTAGAAACTCTATGTTATCCAACAGTTACCAAAACACATATGGGGGACGTTCACTGTCAATGTCTTGTACTGTGTCAAAATAATAAACAATAAAAATGTTGTGATATTGCATTTGTTAACTGAACACCGTGTTTTAAAACGAAATGTGTTTCAATTAGTATCTATAATGATGTTTCCAAATACCTGTTGTGTTCTTTGTATGCGACTGACAATGTTTCGTTTAAGATAATAGGTTTTGTCATGCACAGTTTAAGTTGTTAGCCTTGAAGCAGGTACCCATTCAAATTGGATTAATTTTGAATAAACAATCATGTGCATGAAAATATACATCATCTAGACCTTTGAAACATGACAAATATAAAATCATAGTTTTTTCAACATAAGTAAATAGGTTAATTATATTTATATAGTCATGTCCTTGTGAAACCATTCTTATATTATTAACACTTATACATATAAAATTTATATAAATTCATATAATAACACTACAACAGCTATTGTAATAAAATTGCATTGTACAATCTCAATGTAGATAATGTCGATGACTGCTTATCAAATGTTTTGCCATTCATATACATATTTACTTTCAAGATAACATAGGCATTTCTTGGTCAACACATATTTAATTGTGTTGCACTTGTTATTGCAATATTAATTATAATCATATTAATTATTGTATTTTTTTCAGAAATGAGGGGCATAAGAGTGCGACGTAGACCTTGGACTATGATAACTGGTTTAGCTGTTTGGTGTGGATTTTTTACTATGATTTGTGCAGCTATTACACCAGCACCATGTGATAAAACGAGACGAGTATTTACAGATCAACATGGCACAATATCCGATGGTCCCTCTGGTACAAATTATACAAAGGTATATTTTACAAAATAATAAGAGTATAAATTAGTTAAATGTATTAATTACAGTTCATAATATTTAGATAATTAAAAGTTGTTTTGCAGTATTACAAATATAAAAAAGTACATTAATTAACTTACTATTACTCATATTTGATACTAAAGTTTTAAGTTAGATTTATTAATTTAATCTGTAAATGAAAAAATCCTGATATATCTCACTTAAAATAATAACGAGTATATACATGAGAAGAAATAAATTAACTTTCATGTGTTTATTTCTACCTGAATAGTCTCTAATTATAATTTTCTTATGATTTCAGGATTCCCACTGTGAATGGTTGATAAAAGCACAAAATTCAAGCCAATTTATAACACTCACTTTTAGTAGCATGGGCACTGAGTGTTCTTACGATTACGTCTTTGTATATGATGGAGACTCATTTAGATCTACTTTATTAGGAAGTTTTAGTGGGAAAACGGAACCGCAACAAGTTGTGGCAAGTTCAGGAAATGTAAGTTTTATCACCATTGACATATGAAAATGATTACCTATTCTTCTAATTTTATATGTTGGTGGATGATTGATCAATGTATAAAATTAAAATATATTTTTTGTACTTGTTTTATTTTAGATGTTGATCTTGCTTTATTCTGACACAAATTACGTATTAGAGGGTTTTCAAGCAGAATATAATATATATAATTGTCCAAATAATTGTTCCCAACATGGGGCTTGTGTTGGTCATACTTGTGTGTGTGAAGGTGACTGGGGTGGTAAAGATTGTTCGAGAGAATTATGTCCTAACAGATGTGGTAGTCAAGGAGTTTGCAAAGGCGGAAGATGTCACTGTCATCCAGGGTAAGTAAAATCTGAAATGTAAAAAATAAGTAAAATGCGAAGTTTTAGTATATGCTAGAATATATTATATTATATATGTATTGTGTTAATCTCTGATTTATCTTACATATGTTTGAGATTGGAACTCTTATAGATGTGTAACAATATATAACAACGCATGCTGCTAAGAAGGTCAATTGTTTTTTTTATTGAGAAAAAGCAGCATTTTTGCAAAACCTAAAACAATTATTTTAAATTTCATTGAAAAACATTTTGTATTTCATTTTATAAGATTGATGTATTATTTATATTGCATAAATTATTACATGATTTACTAACATCAATACTTACCAATACTTAATCAATACTTATGATATTAAGTCTGAATTTATATTTTTGCAGTTATTCTGGACAAGGTTGTACCTTGTTCCATGATAATCCGAAAGGCAATCAGTGGCATTGGCTGAGTCATTCAGAATCTGGTTTTGCACCCAGGGCAGCTCATACTGCTGTATATGTTAATGATACTGATTCGCTATATGTGTTTGGAGGATATAATTTAAACAAAGTTTTAGGTTCTTTAGAGGTGTGTACAATATAATCAAATGTTATTCTGATGATATATTAGGATGAAATTAAATATGTATGCAAATCAATACTTTATGCATATTTTTTGATTGATGCCTAATTATGCTTTTTAACCTTCCATAAATTTTGTTGTCAATCTTAATGCATCTTCTTAAAAAATCTCATATTGTTCTTGTACATGTTTAGATTTTTTAATATTGATGTAGATCAAATATAGATAAACACTAATATGCATTTTTATGATTAAATATCCACATATAAGATCTTATTCTTAGACTCACAGTTTGACAAAACTAACACGCATGTAGCGGAATGTTAAGATTATAGTGAACATAATTTAGTAACTTTATAACTTGGTTAAAAATGAAACAAATATAGATTTTAAATAATTTTATTATTTAAAATCTTCTTTATTACATATTCAATATTAAAATAATATATTTATCTGTATCTTTACTACATATTCAATATTAAAATAATATATTTTAAATAATTGTTTTTCTTTAGATTTTTAATTTTAATACAAGTACCTGGCGAGATGAAGATGGAAAAGAACTGGAGGGTATGCCACCTCTTGAATTGGATCATAATATTTTTAAAGAAGTATTGGGCCAGGTATATAAAATAGTTATTAAAATCCAACATGAAATATGAAGTGCTTTAGTTATTAAAATTCAAATTACATAAACATTTTCAGAATGGTCTAGGTGGTGAGCGTTGGGGTTTGCGGCCGCACGCCTCGTTATTTAGAAACGTTTTATATTCGATTTCTGATAATTCTACATTCCGTCGTACGAGATCTACGGAATTTCAAAATGCATCTCTTTCTGATTTTTCTGGCAATTTTTCATCAAGCAAGCCCTTACCTAGATATGGTCATGCAGCATGTAGAGTTGCAGGTAATTATAGTATGCATATGATAATTGAAAATTAAGTTCATTAGTTTCTAGATTCTCTATGGTAATCCGTGATTATATATCTATTATGGGTATATATTTATAATTTAATTTTGCTACTACAATGCATTTTTGACCTCTACATCAATGAAATAAAATAAAATAGAAATAGAACCAAATAAAGCATCTGATTTTTAATTAATTTTTATTTGAGTAAATGAAGATATAATATAAGGAAATGTTCGAGCACAACAGCCTATAGAGTGGAAGTTTTGTTAAAATATAACTATATATATCTTGAGCATTTTTTGTTTGACATTGAAACATTGAATTGAATTATACAGCCAATGCGTCGAATGTAGAAATGTTTATTTTAATTAAAAAAACCAAATTGTACACACCGGACCAGGAAAAAACACATTTTACTATCACCACCAACACAACAATCACATGCTACTACTGTAGGAAAACAAAAACAATTTAAAAAAGAACTGAAGGGGGTTCTCTTTTTTAAATTGTTTTTCTTTTATAAATTGTTTTTGTGTCGTTGAACATCATATTTGACTTTTTCCATTAATTTATTTTAGTTTTTATTTCTACATTTTTTATAGTCTTGTTAAAATCCATAGGTTAGGTTATTAGGAAAAACATCATAAACTTGAATTAGAGAAAAGATTTTCTTGTAGATGGTTTTGCTATGTATGGTGGAAAATTAGAAAATGGTATGCTGTCAAATGAACTCTGGTTGTATAATGTAACATCCAAGCATTGGTCGTTACGAGGATTTCACAATAAACGCCCTCCACCGCTTACTAGACACTCTTTAACATTGGCAGGGAATGATTTGTATTTATTTGGAGGAAGTACTGATGATGGGGAATTTTCATCCAGGTTATTATAATCATTATTTCATTCTAGGTATTATAGACAAATATTGGAAAAATTCAAGAATTGATTTGGTCTTGAGTAGTACCTATGAATAAAATAGTTTTAATTACATCTTAGAAATTATTAAATTGAATTTTAGAATATTTCGAATTCGCCTATCTCAAAACACATCAACTGAAAAAGAAGTTTGGTCAGAAATACGTCCTCGAGGTGGAAAAGAACTTGATGTACGAGTTGTTGCACATACAACAGTTTATCACCCAACATCTAATTCATTAATTGTGTATGGAGGTGTAGTTGCTGGTGTAGCAAGGTACTTTACTTATCATTTATAATATGTTATTAAATAACAAATTATATATTCCTTAATTATTGTATTGTAGGTTTTCTAAGTTATCAGATAGAATGTTTGCATTCCAACTAAATAGTAGGCATTGGGCTGAACTACATTATCCAAGAGCTCATTTGCGAGACAGCTATGTTCCCAGAGAAAGAGCATTTCACACTTCTACTATAATAGGTAAATAAGTCTGTTTTTAAATTATTCTCTTCTTTATGCTTTTTTATGAAATAATCCTATAACATAACATTAAATTTCCTTGTATGATCAAGTATTCTATAAACACTTCTGAATGTTTTACAAATGAATAAACCAATTTTAAATTTCAATTATAAATCTAAAACTATAATCCACTTAAGTATAAGTGCTGAATTTATTTGAACAATATAAGCTTCTATAATTTCTATAATTTGCAATATTTAATCTGTTTAATTTGTATCATCCTACAGGAAATTACTTAATAGTTTTTGGTGGATATTCCCATCGTCATAATAAAGAAGAAATTTGTTACGACAATCAAATGTATTTATATCACCTCGGTTGTCATACATGGGTAAATCCTGACATGCTTGGTAGAACACAAGATTATCGATATCCCAAACAGCAGGGAGTTTTTGCTCATGCAGCCGCTGTTAAAAATGGTAACATATTATTGTTAGTCGGAGGATATCATGGAAATGTTAATGGTAATGATCATTTTTGATAATAATAACAATATGCAACTCAATTCTATGTATTATGCACATGTTTCGGATTATAGGTGATCTATTTGCTTACACACTTCCTCCAATGCTGGCTGCAAAAAATGGAGAGTATTTTGATTCAGAAGCTGCATGCCCTCGACATCATGGTCATACTGAATGTTTAGCTGATCCTGAGTGTGGGTGGTGCTCTGCTGATGAAGTAGGAAAATTTTAATTTTATTTAACAAATATGATTTTAGCATATTGAGTATATTTTGTTAAATATTTGTCTACGATGCAAATAATGTATTACTGTTACGTATATCACAGGTATGTTATGGCAGAACCATTGGTGCTAATTGCACAACCAATTTACAAATCACTAGATGTCCAGGAATTTGTCCAGCTTTGGGAGATTGTCATTCTTGTTTAGTTCATGGTGATACTCCACCCAATATTTCACCCAGGCCATCTGTAGCTTATAAATTGGGTTTTGGTCAATGCACATGGTGTGTTCAGAATGCCAGATGTCATCACAAAGATGGTATGCAGGAGTTTCTCATTATATTAATATAAAACAAACAGATATCTAATTAAAGTTTTTTTCTCAGATAATTATGGAGTTTGTGGTGAAGACACGCCTTCACAGGTTCCTGGCTGGTGGGGACCCAAAGGCACTGAAGTTCTAAAACCAGAACAATGCAGAGAATTAGATAAACGACCTGGACTAACATTTTTGAAATATCAGCATCCAGCCAATTGGTCACAACCCGACCATGTAACAATAATTAATGCCACTACTGTTGATTTTAATGGTGCCAATAATCCAGCTACAAGAACTGAACATGCAGTTAAGGGAGAAATGGTGAGCTATTTGCTAAAACATATTTGGTATTGCTTAGTAACCTTATGTTATGAATGCTTGCTTTAACATATAATTTAACATAATTATTAGAGGTATTTCTGTTTTCGAATAATTCTAATAATTTATGTTTCAACTTTTAGGTAGCTCGACTTCAAGGATTTATTAGACCACCATCATCTTGGGAAGGTGCAGGAGAGACCCTCAAAGTTTGTGCGAGTTATTCACATGCTACTTTAAAATTAAGCAAGAATTCTGAACCTCTCAAAATTGTTGCTAACATCTCAGCGGAGCAGAGCAAATGTGTTTTAGCATCATGGCCAGCAATAGACACACTTAGGTAACTATATTAATAAAATATTACCAATAGAATTAATTTATCAAAACATGTAATTTATAAATTATTTATTTAAAATGTGTTTCTTAATTTTAACAATGTTACTGGGTAACCCTCAAAGCACTTGAATGAAAAAAATTAAAAACTTTTTAATATTAGCGCATTCTTTTAGAAATAGATTCAATTAGATTTTTTTTTTTCAGTTTAATGGTTGATTTTGAAGCACGAAAAAGTGTGACTGGCAGTTCATTAGACCCACAGCATAGCAAAATGGAACTACAGCATATGATATCCATGGAAAATCATAAGAGTAATGAGAACGCAAAAGTTTTTACTTTTGAATACTTAGAGCCCTATTCAAATGGGCTATGCAATCAGTACACTAACTGCCTACACTGCCTCACTGATTCTTTATGTGGATGGTGCGATCTGAATAATCGTTGTCTTCCCAGATCTGAAGATGAATCTCAAACATGTGTTGCTGGAAGAGATTGGAGATATCTTACAATACAACCTAGCGCCTGTGCTAATTGTTCTAATTATATTTCCTGTGATAGATGTTTGGAATCTGGCCTATGTGAGTGGTGGACAAAAGATGCATATTGTGCGCGTAAAGGCAGAATTGATGATGCCATAAAATTAAAGGAAGAATGTCCAGCACCGTGTCATGAGCGTGATAACTGTTCTTCCTGTTTAGATGAAAAAGGGCGATGTGTTTGGTGTGAAGCCACCCAACAATGTTTTAGTTTCTCTGTTTATACAAGTGAATACCAGTTTGGTTTATGCAGAGAATGGTTAGATCAGGATGTACCTCTACTCCCATCATCACATCAGATAAATGAATCTCTTAAAGTTGATCAGTGTAAATCTTGTAGTAGGCATATGAATTGTTCTTCATGTCTACAATCATTAAGTTGTGGTTGGTGTTACAGTCCAGAAAATCCAATCCAAGGAGTGTGTATGCAGGGAGATTTTAATAAACCATATGGTGATTGCAATTTAGCATTAAATACAACTCACGAAGAAAGCGAATGGTCATTTGCGCAATGGTCATATGCCCAATGTCCTGATGTGGATGAATGTGGTTTAGGATTACATGATTGTCATAAAGAAGCTTTTTGTATAAATACTCACGGTTCCTACAGATGCCAATGTAGAAGGGGTTTTGAAGGCGATGGGCGAACCACATGTAGTAGAACCTGCTATAATAATTGTGTGCATGGTTACTGTATGGGTGCTCCAAATTATGTGTGCCAGTGTCATCTGGGTTGGGTAGGAGTGGATTGTGCAACCAATTGTGGTTGTCATAACCATTCAACATGTCAAACTCGTGTAGGCGTATGTGATGAATGTCAAGACTGGACTGAAGGAACATATTGTGAACGTTGTAAAGCTGGTAGCTATGGCAATGCAACATCAAGCGAGGGTTGTCAACAATGTGAATGCAATGGTCATGGTGATGAATCCCTTGGTATTTGTGATTTACAAACTGGTAGCTGCTATTGTCAAGATAATACAGAAGGTCCGAACTGCGAAAAGTGTTCAAGAAACTTTTATGGAGATCCCACAAATGGTGGCCAATGTTACTATGAATGTGAAGCTAGAGGCATGTTAAGTGGTGTTTCTAAGCAAGGAATCGGATCATACCAATCACATCAACCACCTTGGGGAGGACCACCTGCTAAAGAATGTCTTTGGGTCATCAGCTCACAAAATATTGCCGGAGCATTAAGCACCAACAGTATTTTACAGTTAACAATTAATTCTAATGATCTCAATATTACCTGTGGAGAAAACGCAGTATATGTATATGATGGTTTGCCTGATTTGAGTGGTACTGGACAACAAAGTCAATTGTTGGGCGTATTTTGCAGTGAAGATACAACACCACCATTGACTGTTGAATCAAGATCAGGGCATTTGACAGTTCACTACAAACAAGGTGAAAGAGGTCAAGGTTTTAATGCAGTGTATGAAGTGATAAGTTGTGAAAAAAATTGTGCTCCATCTCATATATGTAAAGATGGAACTTGTGTATGTAAGGAAGGTTTTGCTGGGCCCAAATGTGAATTTGAGATATGCCCGAATAATTGCAGTTCGGTGTTGAAGCAAGGGGCTTGTGATCATGGTTATGGGCGGTGCCTTTGCTCATCTGGTTTTGGTGGTGATGATTGTTCTGTGGAGATTCAACCATATCAAATAGTTTACACAGAATTATTTAATTCACAATATCTAGCAGACTCTTTAGAACACTTGAGAAAAACTTTGCCTCGATTTGGGCATACTTTAGTTGCTGATAAGAGAGGTTCTCTTTGGATGTTTGGTGGTTATTCTTTATCTCATGGACCTTTAAATGATATTCGACTTTTTGATACAAAAAATAACACTTGGATGCCTGTGACTGTAGAGGCAACACTAGAAGCAAAGATGCCACAAGGGAGATATTTTCATGCTGCGGAATATGTACATTCTAAACAAGCCATTTACATATTTGGTGGCCTCACTGTTATGGAAAAAGGTCTTTCAAATAATACATTAGGTGATTTTTGGCAGTTTAGTTTACAAAATCAACGTTGGGAATATTTATCTGATTTTGATATTTCACCTCCGCCGTTAGCAGGACACTCATTAACGCTAGTCAAAGATGGTGACTCTGAGAGCCTTATTTTAATTGGCGGATTTTCCGCTGTTTCAGGATTTTTAACGAATGTTTGGATTTATGATTTATTGACAAAACATTGGCAGATAATAGAAGCTAAAGGGGCTGGCCCTATTGGCGTATTTGGACATAGCACTGTTTACCATCATGGTACAAAGAGTTTGTACGTTTTTGGGGGTTATGAATATATGACAAATAGGACAGTATTGTCAAACAAATTATATGCTTTATTATTTATTGGAGGAACCGTTGAATGGAGTGAACTTCCTGTATTTCCTGATTTGAATAATCCTAAAGATCAACTTCCTAGAGCACGTTTTTTACATTCTGCGATCAGTACTGAGAACTACATGGTTATATTTGGTGGCCGTACTTATCCTCATAACGTTACTGATTCCTTGATAGCTTATGTTTACAATTGTAATCAGTGGATTAGACTAGTAAATGATGTAGAAGTTGTGGGTACGCCTCCTCCACCTTCATATGCTCATGCAATGACCGTTGACCCAGAAACTAAATCATTATACATTGTAGGGGGATGGGACGGAGCCTCCCATAGTCATGTCACCAAAGTTGTTTTGCCATCAGATTTATGTACTTTATGGAGTAGAGGAAAGCATATATGCAGACATGTGATGGGATGTAGCTTTTGCAAATTGCTGGGTCTTCCAAATTCAACCTATTGCTTCTCGCAAGGAAGTTCAAAGGTATGTGGTGAAAACGCTAGCGTACGAACTAATAATGGAGCTTCATGTGACGATGAATGGTTTGCAAATAGAGGATGCTCTAATTTTACTACATGCACTACTTGTCTGGCTTCGTGGCCTTCCCATTTAGAATTATCACCTGTTTGTAAATGGTGTGCTGGATGTGGTAGAGGACGTTGCATATCTGCGATGAACGAATGCGATACAGATATTAAGTGTGGCAACCGACAGAAACTAACAACTGGCGTGACAATTGTGGATGAATGTCCAGAACGCCAATGTGCGGCATCAGATTGTGAGCAGTGCTTGCATTTGGGATCTTGTATTTGGACTAGACAGGTTCTAATTACTTCCGAATTGGGTGTTAAAGTAGCCGCAGAACCGATTTACAATTGGAATTGCGTATCTGAAGAAATTACAACAACTAAAATGAAGGACGTAGCAGTTTGTGCCCCGAGATGTACTGTCTATAAGAATTGTAGTAGTTGCTTGGCAGCTACGGGATCAGAAGGAGGTTGGCATGAGTGCAGATGGTCAACGAAATTGAATGAATGTATTTCACCGAGTTATCAATCTTTATACTGTGCGGGAGGTGTATGTGGATCTGTTCTGAAGCCCGATAACGCAGGAATGTGCCCCGAACCTTGCGAATCTTTCACACAATGTTCCGTATGTCTGCGTCATGCTCACTGTGGTTGGTGCTCGAGACAAGGCAAAGAAGGAGATGGTGTTTGCGCAGAAGGATCACTGGAAAGTCCTACAGAATATCCAGCATTATCAACATGCGACGTGTTGTATGCAAGTCGAAAAACCGATAATGTGATTGCACCCAATGAAACATTTACTTGGAACTACGTTCGTTGTCCCCCCGAAAACGAATGTGAAAATGGACATCACAATTGTGATGAAAAATCTGAGCAATGTGTCGATTTAGAAGTGGGTTATGCCTGTGAATGTGGACCAGGTTACAAATTCGACGGACAAATTTGTGTCCCGGTGTGTACACAAGGTTGTGTGCGAGGAGTCTGCGTTAAACCTAATGTTTGTACTTGTGATTTTGGGTACGTTGGAGCAAATTGCAGTATCCAGTGCCAATGTAACGGGCATGCCAATTGCCAAGGACCTGATAAATTAAATGAGTGTATCGAGTGCTTTAATAACACGATGGTAAGTGTTTGTTAATTTTTAATTGTAATCATTTTTAATGTAGTTAAATTTAGAGCTTAATTATTATTTAGCAATCACATACCCGATTAATATTCAAATTATTTAATGATTGCTCGAAAGAAAAATTTTTGCATATTATTGGGAAGGTTATGAATCTAAAAAGATTTCTGAAGCGTAACGTAAGAACTAGTGCCATTGAACTTAATTAATAAATCCGAAGAGCAAAAGTAATTTTTTGAATTCTTCAAAGATATTTTCTGTAATCATCGTGCATTTGCTTTTATAGGGTGCTCAATGTGAAAAATGCAAGCCTCTCTTTGTTGGTGATCCCTCCAATAATGGACGTTGCGTTCCCTGTTTGGACTATTGTAATGGTCACAGTGAAGTTTGCATCGCGGATAATACGGGTATTGCGCCTCCACCACCAGGCATGTCCCGGTCAGATCTTGAAGATTATCTGGGAGAAGGACCCATAGGGGCAGCGCGCTGTTTACGCTGCACGGATAATACCACTGGTAACAGATGCGAAGAATGCGTTCTTGGCATGTTTAGGGGTTCTGAAGATCATAAACATCCTTGCAGACCGTGAGTTATTTATACATATATTCATTTATTTACTTATTCATAAGCAAGCTATTATAAATAATAAGATTTTTGAATATCAATAATTAACAAATTATACTTTCAACAGTTGTGAATGTCATGGTCATGGCGACACTTGTGATCCTGTGACTGGTGAGAAATGTAACTGCGGTAACAATACAGAGAGCGATTCTACTTGTGCCACTGCTGGTGGTGGCAAAAATTCTGCTTCAGTACAACATTGCTGGATGGTACAATGTTCCAAATGTCGAGAATCGTATGTTGGCACACCTACACAAGGACATCAATGCTATAAACTGATCTCCGTAAACGATAGAATGTGCTTTGATGCAAAGAAGATTGGTAAGTCTATACCAGTTTAAGTTTTTATGTTATCAATTTGTTCACTGATGAAATAATATTTAATAGATGTTTCTGCAATTATAAATTGGTGTGAAAGTCTGATAAATCGGAAAAAGTGTAGTGCTAGATACTGCACAAGTATTTCTCTATTTTTAAAATTGATGAGTAAAATTGAAAGAAGGTTTAAAGTTATTAAACTCTGCTTTATCTATAAACGATGATTAAACTTCAACATCTTAAAATTTGAACTCGAGTGAATAGACTTTGAGTTGATTATATAACAGAAGTTTTTATTGGGTTTTATAATGATTGTTCTTGTGTTTTATCATTTAGTAAATAATTGATCATGTAGTTCTTTATGGTGGTTATGGTAGTTATGGTAGCACAAACACAATTTTGAGTCAAAATTAATTCATTTCTATATTTTATACAACAGATGAATGCAAAATGAAGCCTCGTCCTTTGAATCCTGGACAAACAGTATTCTTTGTGGTACAACCTCGTTACATGAACGTTAATATTCACGTAATAATAGATGTAACGCAAGGCATGTTAGATCTTTTCTTAAGCCCTCGTGATGATACCTTTGTCGTTACAACGAACGCTACTACTAGTTCTCATTTTGTTGATATAGACCCCAAGTATAGAATTAGGGATGAAGAGCCACTCAGTCGAATAGAATATTCTATGGGTGATAACACTACATCCGAAAGGACTTACTGGACTTCTTCTACCCACAGCACTGTATATAATTTGGTGGATAAAAATTCAAAAGATTTGAGCACGTATATAACGGTCAATAAGAGGAATTTTGTTCTTCAAGTTCATGGTTTGAGAAACCGTCTTGTATTGATACTTCCACAGGAAGTTCATTATCTGAACTCCACCAGGTTTTTCATGGTATTAAGAGCTGTCAACAATGAGGACGCTCCTGGAAGACCAAGTTATGGAATGGTGTTTACACGTCAAGACCAACTACATATCGACTTATTTGTATTTTTCTCAGTTTTTTTCTCTTGTTTCTTTTTATTTTTATCTGCATGTGTAGTTGCTTGGAAGGCAAAACAAGCTGCAGATATCAGGCGTGCAAGAAGGCGTCATGTGGTTGAAATGTTGCATATGGCCAAAAGACCATTTGCATCGGTAACATTATTGATGGGTAATCGAGGTAGTCCAGCCGCCATGAGAAAAATTAGAGCTCGCAAATTAGCTATGCAAGATATTGGAGAGATTAGACCAATCGCTATTGAGCCGACGAACGACGGTTCGGCAGCAGTTGCTACTGTATTTGTTACTCTGCCCGGAGCCAACAAGGCACCAGTTTGTTTAACAATGGCGAGTGCACTAATTATGCTGTCCAGACAACATCCGGCAGCAGGAAGGCCATTTATGCGGCGTAGAAATAGCCATCATGTCACCGCGCCTATACAACCCACGTGAGTTAACTATATTCATATATATTGGTATTGCACGTATGTGCAAATTATATTTGAACCATATGTTTAAAAATATTGATCGTTCTTCCGTATTTATGCTTAAATAACGTTATAAATTGCAGATACAGAACATAGTCGCGCATAAATATTTTAGTTTTTTCTGTCTTCATTTGCAAACCAAACGCATAATGCTTTTCCAAAATTTGAATCCACATTTGAAAATATACTCTCATATACTAAGCTGATATAATTAACTTAACAATGATTTATATGGCCAATCATTTTACATTTTTATTCTGTACGCCTTTAAATATTTGTTTTAGATAAATTTCTATAATTTATCAAGCTCTAACGGTTTTTTTTTAATCTAACATGGGTTAATAATCAGAAACGTAATTTTGCATATAACAAATTTGCGCGAATTATTATTACTTATTTAATTTTCCAGAGATACATACTGACTTTTTCGTTTATTCAATAATTGAATCTAGAAATTTTCGAAAACTTTAGATTAACATTTTATTTTTCTTGTATCCTTCATGACATGGCAAACTATTATGCCTTTTATATAAAATTATCATAGTTTAATTAATATTTTTATTTTTTTATCTAATTTTTATGTGTTAAAACATTTAAATATTTTAAGAAAAGACTGTAAGGCAACTTTAATGACTTTTAAAATAACTAAAAGAAAGAGATCTGAATAATTACATATGATAAGAATTTTGCAATGATGCATTTATTTCATGACCGATTTAGTTCGAAAGTCTTACATTGATTTAGTTTAGAAAAATCATGAATTCAGATTTGGTTGTGATATAAAATAATACATCACTTTTATTACTGACTGATTATATTTTTAATACTTGAATTCTAAAAGTACTGTACTTTAAACATCTCTTCCAAACATAATAAAATTTACTTATTTTGAAAATTATGCTTGAATATATATTTAAGAGGTGTTAATCTCCAAAAGGTCGTAAACGTTCCTAAATACTTAAAGAATTATTAATTGGAAATGCATGTTTACATTAATTACGTCACAAATTCCATTTTAAGATTAACATAAATTTTAATGTGCAATGATTTACAATAACATATACTATATTTATAGTTAGGAAAATGACAATTGAAAAATACAAATTCAGATGGGTAATTTGAATTATGCTCTATTCGTTACAAATTTAATATAATAACTATTATATTTTAATGTATAAACAATGTACTAATATTATAAAATAATTAAATTATAGTTATATGTGGGGATATACCAAATCCTCAGCTATTAAAATCATTAAGTACATTTTGAATTCGCAGAATGATTTATAATAAATTGATATTATTTTATATGTGATAATATTGAAACTATGTATATATTAATTTTATAAAAAATAGATCCCTGGTACAAATTCTTAAGTTTGATGAAATAGACGTATTGAAAAATATTCTTTAGAAAAACATACAAATATATTAATTCTACCTTTCCGTAGCTCAGGCCTGTGTTGTAAAGTTGTTAAAAAATTGTATGAACTTGTGTTATTAATTGATAATTGTCCGAAGAGTCTTCCGTGATTATTTTATGCAACAAATCAACTTGACGATATAAAAACATTTTTTTAATGATTGAATGTTCCAAAATGTTCTTGGAAGATTTCTCATTTTTATTGTCCCTAATTTTTTTAGATCAAGTTCTGGCGCGTCTTAAGTCTTAATAAGTAATTCTAATAAAGTATTGAATAATATTAAATAAATAGTAATTTTTTATGCTTGTTTATTCAAACAGTTTTGTTCAAATATTTCTCAAAGCTCTCATATATACATTTTTGGAATTAGTCAAAAATATGAGGGATTGGGATATTCATATTAACTACTGAATTCTGCTTAAATAGAGAAAAATAGCAATTAAAATAATTGGACTGATATAAGACTCGGACTTGAGTAATTTTCCAAGAACTTAATAATAGTATATTAGAAATAAAGATAATTTTTGTTTGATATATGTGGGTACTAACTTAGAGTAAATAATACATGTATAGTATGTTCCAATAGTGATTTAAAAGTATCCATATAGTATATATGTATTATATTTAATTTTTATGTACAATACTCTGATTAAGCTTAGATTTACGATTTTTTAAGATACATACATATTTTTGTTATTTTTTATTAACTCGATTTAAAGTATTAAATAAAATTTGATATTAATTCGTGTAATAAAATTACAAAGCGGTTAAAATGATAAATATGGAGCAACATACAAGTCTTTTGTTTTCAAAAGTATATATATATTAATTTTTAAAATGGATTATTTTTGAAATGCGTTACTATTATTTTTTAAATATATCGCTCTCTACGGCAATGAAGATGCTTAAAACATTTTGCTAGCTAATGAGATTTATAATTCATTATTAATGGAGACTGTACAAAAATTTCTCTATAAAATAACAATAAGAATCCCCAGCATAAGTGATTCAAAGAGCATATTTTTATGCAATACAATAACAATAGGTGTTAAATATATATTTGTATATAAAATAAAACATGACATTTAGTTCAGTGCTCAAATTATATATTCGTGTAAAATGCCATGTAATATATCTTCTAATTTGTACATTATAATATATCTATTCTGTGGTAATATTATTAAAATATATTTTAGAATTATGGACATATGCATATATAACGACTAACATATATGTACAGTATTAACAAATTGTTTATATATAATCGGTATATCAAATAAATATATATCTTACCAAATTAATTTTGTATTCAATAACTCGCGTGCTTAATAACTTGTTTAGTTATTAAGATTAGGCTTGCGGTATCATTTTTAATATTTTTGATTATAATATTGGAATGAGTGAATTAACTCTGCAAGTCGTGCAAACCTTAGCAAAACCTCTAGTAAAATGGTAAACAAATGAAACAAGAAAATATGAAAACAAATGAAACAAGAAAATATGAAGAGAAAAGAAATAAAAATAATAGAAACTTTTTTAGTTGACAGTTATTAAAAAAGATTGGCAATATATTACATGATCTGAAGGCAAGCAAACAAGCAATTAAACTACTGTTGGAATATTATATGGCAAACCAATGGAAATGAACAAATTCAATTGGATGGATTTTTTTTTATTATTCGGTGGTTTTTGAAAATTTTGAAATCAACGTCATTTTCACATCATATGATCAGATTTTTATCAACATTTCGAATGCTTAATTATTTTTATCAAATTCTTGTTTTTTCGAACCGACGAATGATTTTAACTCAGGTCGCACTTTTGTACCTGTTACAGAAATTGAAAGTTTTTATAACTTACATATAAAGTAGGCATAAAATAAGTCTATTTTGTTAGTAATGATACTATGATCATTTATTACAATTTTGGGTTGTGTATGATCATACAATGATTTTCATCTTTATTTATTTTTCTAAACTCACAGGATTTTAAGATAATAAGAAAAACTCTTAAACAAATCGAAGTATTCGAAATTTATAAAAATGTCATTTCCAAAACTGTTGCAAATCAAAACATGGCACAAACTTTAGAGATGTGAAATAGTTTGTAAATATACAAAAAGATAACAAAAATGATAATAAAAAAATAAAAAAGATAATAAAAAATGAACTTTTTAAAAATATCTTCTTCTATTCAAAATCTCTAAAAGATTATAATTTTTTTTTCTCAAAATTTTACGTTCACATTTCTGAAGTTTCATAATTTAAATGACAAGTTTGAAAAAAATATTTATTTTTTTTTTTTTCACTCGTTTTATTTAGCAATCAGAAATACATAAAGATTCCTATGAGCTAAAATGATAATGTTTAAGAGCGAAGCCTAAGAAGAGATCCAATGAGATCTTCTCAGTTTAACAATTACTATAATAATATTATATTAGACCTAATCCAAGACTAAGTCTAAAGGCCATTTGAAAAAATTAAAATAGCATTGAAATATTTTTTAAAATAAAGTAACGAGATCAAGATTTTTTCAGGTTGAATTGTTATCATAGCACAGAGAATTTTTTTTGAACTTTTTTTTCAAAAATAATCTGGCATCCTTATCATATATGTAAATATATATATATAACTATATATATATATATATATATATATATATATAATAAAATATATAAAATATAACCAGAAGCGGTCTTTCACTCATTCAGCGGGCGATTATTTTCAGCCATAAAAGAAATTTTTGATATATTGTGTTTCTACAATCTCTTCAAAATTTGGTACGCCCATACTTAAAAGTTAAAGCTCGATTTTTTGGCATTAAACCGTCAGCAAATATAAACTAGTTATTGCTGGGTAGAAAAGTTCATACAACAAGTTTCCTATAATTAAAAAATGTAAAAGGGCCAACTTCAATTCTTTATTGTTGATGTTTGTTTCCCATGATATATTATTATTATTAAATTATGATTTCAGTAGGCATGTGAACTTTGATCATATGTAATTTAATATCTTCTTCTTCAATGCGTCTTCATTTCTTATTATTCTGTTTACTTATTGAGCTTGTAAGCTATATACAGTGTATACCTTTGTAGTATTGATAATCCTGTATTGTAATTATATTGATCATTGTTGTTTCTCATGTTCTCGATGTTTTTTATAAAGGTGATGATATCGTTATTAGATATCATACCACGATACCACTCTGTGTTTATTTCAAATTCATATCAAATTGCAAATGTGCAAATTAAATACTTTGCATAAGAACATCAAATAATCAGATTTTCATATTTTAATAATCGAATATTTTTCTTTATTCAATTTTAGGTTTTATATCTATACACGAACATACTCAGAAGCCACAATATTCACATTAAAAACTTATAAGATTCGCTCTAAGAAAGCATTTATAAAAATTCTTATAGGATTCTTTCTAAGAACATATAAAAATGCTTATAAGATTCACTCTTAAGTATTTCAACGTGTTTTTACAATAGATTTTGATGTTCTACTTGATTCAAATTTCGTATCATTTAATGATAAATTTTACAACGAATTACCCACTGTTATATAACTTTTACTAACGTAAGTTTATGCATTGTTTTTACACAGTTTGGTTTTTTAAACAAAGTGATTAGAATGTTTTATGAGCTACATGTTCTATGAGTGTTTGCTATTGTATATTCTAAATTAGTATTTTTTTTGAGAGGGCAACTCAGCAGTCAACCAATATTTCTTTTATGTGTTTATAATAT